AAAGGGGCTGTGAAAATATTTACAGACCTCACGCATCCTGGACATAAACTGTTTCAACTCCTACCCTCAAAACGACGCTATAGGACTCTGCACACCAGAACAACTAGACACAAGAACAATTTTTTCCCGAATGCCATCACTCTGCTAAACAAATAATTCCCTCAACACTGTCAAACTATTCACTGTCTGCATTACTATTAATCTTCTTATCGTTCCCACCACCCATCTCCTTCCACTTATGACTGTATGACTGTCATTTTGTTGCTTGTATCCTCACGATTTATATTAATATTGTTTCCTGACTGCTATTTGTACCCAATGACTATCATAGGTTTTAAGTGAATTTCGTTGTATGGGTATACTCTGTATACATGGCCAGTACGCTCTCACAGAGTGGGCCTCCTCAGGGTGCCGTCCGCCAGACAATGTCGGCTGGCGACCCCCAGGGGGAGAGCCTTCTCTGTGGCGGCGCCCACCCTCTGGAACAACCTCCCCCCAGAGATACGTACAATAACAGACCTCCGGATTTTTCGTCGGGCCCTGAAAACCTATTTATTTCAACTAGCTGGGCTGGCTTGAGTTAAATTTTAAATTGATTTTAAATTGGGTTGTTTTAATTTACGGCCAAAATATTTAATTATTTTAAACTGTTTTTAAATTTTGTATGTTCTGTTTTTTACTTTGGCTGTTCACCGCCCTGAGTCCTGTTTGGAGAAGGGCGGTATAGAAATGGAAACAAACAAACAAACAAACAAACAAACAAACAAATGACAATAAAATGGCATAGGACCCGGGTATCTCCGAGACCGTCTTCTGCCACCAATAGCCTCCCACCGACCAGTTCGTTCCCACAGAGAGGGTCTCCTCAGGGTGCCATCAGCCAAGTTATGTCGGCTGGCGACGCCCAGGGGGAGGGCCTTCTCTGTGGGAGCCCCAGCCCTGTGGAACGAACTGCCCCCGGAAATACGTAAGATCTCCGACCTCCGGGTGTTTCGCTGCGCATTGAAGACCCTGTTGTTCCGCCAGGCCGGACTATCAACACAATAGTTTTAAATTGGGGTATTTAAATTTATTGGGGTTTTAAATTTGAGCCACTTATTTAATTATTTAAAATTTTATATCATTGTTTTGTCTGTGTTTTTAAATAGGCTGTACACCGCCCTGAGTCCTTCGGGAGAAGGGCGGTATAGAAATAAAATTATTATTATTATTATTATTATTATTATTATTATTATTATTATTATTATTATTATTATTCATTCAGTCAGTCAGTCAGTCAGTCAGTCAGTCAGTCAGTCAGTCAGTCAGTCAGTTAGTTAGTTAGCTAGTTAGTTAGTTAGTTAGTGTTGTACCTTGTGATTCTTGATGAAGGTATCTTGTCTTTTTATGTACACTAAGAGCGTATGCACCAGCACAAATTCCTTGTGTGTCCAATCACACTTGGCCAATAAAGAATTCTATTCTATTCTATTCTATTCTATTCTATTCTATTCTATTCTATTCTATTCTATTCTATTCTATTCTATTCCATTCCTTTCCATTCCATTCCATTCCATTCCATATTTTCTATTCTATTCTATTCCATTCCATATTTTCTATTCTATTCTATTCCATTCCATTGCATTTCCATTCTATTCCATTCTCTATTTTCTATTCTATTCTAGTCTCTTTCCTATTCTATTCTATTCTATTCTATTCTATTCTATTCTATTCATGTTCTATTCTATTCATGTTCTATTCTATTCCATTCCATTCCATTCCATTTTATTCCATATTTTCTATTCTATTCCATTCCATTCCATATTTTCTATTCTATTCTATTCCATTCCATTGCATTCCATTCTATTCCATTCTCTATTTTCTATTCTATTCTAGTCTCTTTCCTATTCTATTCTATTCTATTCCATTCCATTCCATTCCATTCCATATTTTCTATTCTATTCCATTCCATTCCATATTTTCTATTCTATTCTATTCCATCCATTGCATTCCATTCTATTCCATTCTCTATTTTCTATTCTATTCTATTCTATTCTATTCTATTCTATTCCATTCCATTCCATTCCATTCTATTCCATTCTCTATTTTCTATTCTATTCTAGTCTCTTTCCTATTCCATTCCATTCCATTCCATTCCATTCCAAACCGGTCACCTATATGTTAGCTTAGCACTGTTGTGCCCAGTCAGCCAGCGATTCCCCCTCCAAACAGTTAAGGTGAGAGAGTTTGAATTCCTGGAGGGGCAGGGGAAAAAAAAAAAAACACCTCCGCAGGCGGATAGAGAAAGCGCTGGGAAACAAAGAACTAAAGAGAATGAGAGAGAGAGAGAGAGAGAGAGAAGGAAAACCGCTTCTTCCGGTTCCGGTTCCCGTGGGAAAGTGGCCTTTGAATTTTCCCACGCGGAGATTACCCTGGTTAGAAAGGCTTTTCCACGCCCGGAAGGGAAGCCAGGCACGTGGGAGGGGTTCCGGGTGTGGGAGGAGAGGCTTCTGCCTGGAGGTTGCATGGCAGGCAGATATTCCACTGGGGAAGCTCTTGGGACTGGAGAAGGGATGGGGGAGGCAACTATTTGTCAAATCAATTCAGCCAAATTTATTTAATTCATTTTATTCGATTTTAAATTTTGTATTTGTATGTGTTTTATTTCATGGCTGTTCACCGCCCTGAGTCCTTCGGGAGTAGGGCGGTATAGAAATTCAATAAAATAAATAAAATAAATTAATAAATTCTGTGCCTTGGGTAAGGACGCCCTTTGCCAGGGTTGGCTGAAACCATATCGAACCGAAGAGTCACGAAAGTGTTCACCCAATGTGCTGAGCCATCAACCTTGGTTTAATCAAGTCTGGTTGAACCAAAACAAGCCACCTTATGGCTGAGCTCATTTGTGTGGACCCAACAACGTAAGCCAGAAAACCAGGGTTTTAAACCATGGTTTTATGGCTTAGGAATCCTAAACCATAAATCATGGTTTAATGGCTTACATTGTTGGGTTCACACAAACGAGCTTAGCCATAAGGTGGCTTGTTTTGCTTTAGAGTTGAGCAGGCTGGACCTGATGTCATGTGTCCGGAGACACCGCAAACTCCCAACCAGGGTGGATAAAAATCAATGATTTAAAAAAAAAAAAAAAAAATCGGATTTTTTTTTATTTAAATCGGATTTTTTTGATAAAAAATTTATCAAATTTATTTTAATTTATTTTAATAAAAAACTTTTGGGGTAAAAATCTATCGTAAGATAGTTTTCTATTTAAGATACATAAATAATTTAGTTTATTCAGCATGAAATGGAGCTTAGTTATGTAGCATGAGGCTGTATATTCTGCAACACTGGGACTATCGGTGAGTCAACAGTGGGTCAAAGGAGTAGCAGAGATGACAGTTGCTCTTTAAAAATTATGATTTAAATCGAGTTGATTTAAATCAAGCCTTTTTACTAGTGATTTAAATCATGATTTAAATTGTGATTTAAATCAACTCGATTTAAATCAAATCTACCCTGCTCCCAACAGAAGCAGTAAAAGGGATGTAGTGTTGGAAAAATTATCCTTAACCAGAAAAAGAAAAAAAGGCATGACAGTGATAAAGACAACGGTTTAATTGTAAAAATAAAAGAACATTTAATAGCTTGAAGGACAGTAAGATATCACCTTGCTGAGGCTCATCCTCCCTAAAATATTATAAAGTAGCATTTCAGCTATTTTTTCTTTAAAAAGGTACTGTTATTAGTAGCTTTCGCATTGGCTGTTCTGTTTACTTGGGTGTTTTACCATAGTAAAATACCACAAATAGACAACAAGCTAAATATGATAGTGGTTGAAACTTAAAAATATGTCTTTATTACTTGTAAGACAAGCTGTTTATTGAATTTAAAATTTTAGAATCGTGCACCCGATATTGTCAGTGATTTGGTTGTATGTGATGCATTCTTTAGGTTTATCTTGTCTGTCTGTGTATATGTGAATATGTGTGTGTGTTCCACTTGGATATACATATACATATACATATATATATATATATATATGATGGATACATACATATATATATATAGAGAGAGAGAGACACACACAGATATATATAAATAGACACACACACACACACACATACACACAGAAGCTGACTTGATGACTGCCAGTTACTCTCAGCTCTAGACTGAAAAATCAAAGTCAGATTGATAGAATGAGACATGAGAAGTAGGGAGAAATTAAATTACTAATCTCTCTGCACGGAGAAAGTCAACAGATCTTAAAGTAAATGTAATTACAGTTCGATTCAGGAAGGGCCATCCTTTGATTGGGAGCTTCCTAGTTTGATATAAGGTAGAATTGTTTATTGGCCAAGTGTGACTGGACACACAAGTAATTTGTCTTTGGTGCATAAGCTCTCAGTGTACATAAAAGATATAAGTAATAAACATATAGGTGGGCACGTATTTAAATGTTTTAAATCAATAAATCCATCTCCATTTACACCATGTGATTAGAGAGGATTCTAACATTTTCACGTTCTTTTCTTTTTTGTGTGTGTTTAAAAATTTTATTAGTTGATCAAAATATAATATAAAGACAAAATGCAAAAGAAAATAATGGGGAAATAGGGGAGGAAAAGGGGAAGAGAAAAGTGTAGGTGAAAAAGAGTGAAAAAGGAAGAAAAAAGTGTTGACTTCCAACTCTTTTTGGTGCGGTAGAATAAGATAATAGCATGAAACCTCAACATTTTACTTTTATATGATAATATTAGCTAGCCACTTCTATAACAACAAACTTATATAATCAAACCCAAAATCAAACTTTCATATATATTTTTTTTCCTGTCTCAAGAACGAAGTCCAAAAGCCGTTTCCGTGTAGAAACAAAAGTAATTGTGTTCTTTTCTTTAATCAGAGCAATCAACTCTGCCATCTCTGCGAACTCTGTCAATTTTTGCAGCCATTCGTCCATTGTGGGGTCACCTCCTCTTCTTTAAGAGCGCTGCAGCTCCAGCCCTCTTGACATCTCGGAGGTGCGAAAATGGCCCATCTCCTGCCAGACCTTTGCAAAGAGGCCCCTTTGAGCAACAGCGGCCTCTGGGCCAGCGACAGAAGCATCAGGCAGAAAGTCAAGGAGGAGATCCAGGGGGAAGGGACGGCTGTCTTAGAAACCCAACGCCTACACTTCAGGCAGTTTGGCTACCAGGAGGCCGAGGGACCACGAGAGGTGTGCAACCATCTCTGGAAGCTTTGCAACCTGTGGCTGAAACCCGAAAGGCACACCAAAGAACGGATTCTCGAACTGGTGGTCCTGGAGCAATTCCTGAACGTCTTGCCCCCACGAATCCAGAACTGGCTCCGAGATGTTGAGCCAGAGGATTGCACCCGGGCGGTGGCCTTGGCAGAAGATTTCCTGCTGAGGCAGCAAAAAGAGGAAACTCAGAAAGAGTCAGTGAGTATATTTAACCCCCAGTCATTTCATTGGGATGTGTAGTTTAAATCAGGGGTGAAATGCTCCCGTTTTGGACTGGATCACCCGATCTGGTAGCGATGGCGGTGGGTGGTTCAGAGAACCGGTAGCAAAAATCCCTGCGCCCCCCCCACCACCATGCCCAGCTGAGCCACACGAATATCAAAGGCTTTTTTTTTTTTTTACTTTTAAAAGCATTTTTTCTACAACCTCTTCCAATGAAAAAATTCTTTTAAAAGTAAAAAAAAAAAGCCTCTGATGATCGCGCGGCTCAGCTGGGATCGTCAGAGGCTTTTCAAAGCATTTTTTCCTGCAACCTCTTGGTTGAAGAGGTGGTAAAAAAAATGCTTTGAAAAGTCTCTGACGATCCTAGCTGAGTTGCCTGATGGCAGAGAGGCTTTTCAAAGCATTTTTAAAAAAGCCTCTCTGTGATGATCCCAGCTGAGTTGCCTGATCGGCAGAGGCTTTTCAAAGTATTAGAAAAAAATGCTTTGAAAAGTTAAAAAAAAAAAAAAAGTTGGCCATGCCCACCCAGTCACATTACCCACCACCACCACCAAGCCACGCGCACAGAACCAGTAGTAACAAATTTTACATTTCACCCCTGGTTTAGATCTGTGTTTCTCAAACTTGGCAACTCGCTAGCTGAGGAATTCTGGGAGTTGAAGTCCACATGTCTTAAAATTGCCGAGTTTGAGAAATATTGGTTTAAATAGCTATGCTGGGCGGGTAGATGGCCTAATTCTTGTCCCAAAAGGTGCTTTTTCAGGAGGCAACTGGACTGTCAGCGTCTCACCGCTGGCATAGAGAGGAGAGAGATAAGCCCTGAACTTTTGCCTGCTAAATCCCTTTGAAGCCCGGTCGTCATGGAAATGAGGAGGGGGGAGACATTCCTGTGAAATGACGAGACAAGAAGTCAGTGGAGTGACTTGGAAGATAGCCAATGAGAAGCAGATAATTGGGGATCGGAAAGGGAGGGATTGGGGGGGCAAAAGGTCAGTCTTGTCCGCATCGAGTTATGATCCGGTTGCTGTGCTCAATTAAAGAGAAGTTTTCCTTAAAGATTGGCAGTTTGGAAATTCATTTATTATGAGATAGCATCAAAGTCTTTCTTCTTATTATTGTTTTTTGAAGACATTTCGCTTCCCATCCAAGAAGCTTCTTCAGCTCTGACAGGATGGTGGGGAATGGAAGGATTTATATTCCTTGTAGACAGCTGGTCATTTGCATCCTTATAGAAGATGGTTGAAGCACTTGGAGGCTTCTCTGTGTCCTCAGGATAACCTGAGTGGTGCTCCTGGTTCCTGTAGTCTGCAATTTTTTCCTCTGGAAGTCCATTCCTACTCCCACACCATTCCAAGGGTGCTCATCCCAAATTGTATAGCTAAAAGTCTATAGGGATTCTCAGTCATCCAGGTCATGGTTGACCTGAATGACTGAGAATCTCTATAGACTTTTAGCCTAATTCTTGATTCTCTCTTCCTGTTATTATTTTCAATTGCTTGGAGATTTTCTCCTTCCAAGAAGCCTTGGCCAGTCCTCTCAAAGCTAAAATACAGAATAAATTGCATCTCTTAAGATTGGTTTGCTTCTAAAATCTATTCGTTAATTTTGATTTTTTTTTTTTTTTTTTTTTTTTTTTGCTGCTTGCTTTATGATACCTGGACTTCCACCACAGAGGCTGAGACCCCTTAAAGAAGAGATGATCTGTTTACAGGTGGCTGAGGAAGCATCGTCTGATTCCTGGCCGAAGGTCATTTTAGGTGAAATCAAACAGGAGGAGGAAGAGGAGGATGGCGCATCTCTGGGTAAGGGGGCTCCCTTCTGTAGCCATGGATTCCTGTGTTATCTTGATTGTGGCTTGTTTTGCTTGTTCGTTAGCAGGTTTGCGAGCCTGGACAATAATATTGTATTCAGTAGACAAATCATAGCTTAGAACAGGGGTCTCGAAACTTGGCAACTTTAAGATTTGTGGACTTCAACTCCCAGAATTCTTCAGCCAGACAGCCTTTGCCTATCTTTGTTTGTCAGAAGATCGCAAAAGGTGATCACACAACCCAAAGACACTACAACCATCATAAAGGAGCCGAGGTAGCGCAGTGGTTAGGGTGCAGTACTGCAGCTACTTCAGCTGACTGCTAGTTCAGCAGATCAGCGGATCAAATCTCACCGTTGACTCAAGGTTGACTCAGCCTTCCATCCTTCCGAGGTGGGTAAAATAAGGACCCAGATTGTTAGGGGGCAATATGCTATATAGTATACTGTCTTTGGTGTAAGCCGCCCAGAGTCCTCGGAGAGTGGGCGGCATAGAAATATGAATAAAATAAATAATAAATAAATAAATATGAGTCAGTTGCCAAGCATCTGAATTTAGATCACATGACCGTAGAGCAGTGATGGCTAACCTTTTTGCCATCGCGTGCCAAAAGCAGGGGGAGCACGGGGTAGGGGGTTGCACATGCGAGTGCCCACACCCATAATTTGATATCCCTCCACACCTCCCCGCATGTGCACACGACCTCCCCACGCTTTTGGCACACAACAGCCAAAAGATTACTGGTGGGCCCGATAGGCCCGCTTTCGCCCTCCCCAGGCTCCAAAGGCTTTCTTGGAGCCTGGGGAGGGTGAAAACGGCCTCCCCCACCCCGGAGGCCCTCCGGAGGCTGGAAACGGCCCATTTCCTGACTTCTGGTGGGCCCAGAAGGCCCAAAAATCAGCTGGCTGGCGCACGCATGCGTGCTGGAGCTGAGCTAGGGCAATGCTCACGTGCCCACAGATATGGCTCCGCATGCCGCCTGCGGCACGTGTGCCATAGGTTCGCCATCACGGCCATAGGGGACGCCGCAACGGTTATAAGTATGAAAAATGATCATAAATCACCTTTTTCTGTGCTATTGTAACTTCAGTTACTAAACAAAGTTTTTAAAGTCAAGAACTGCTTGTACTCTGGTTACATTCTTGCCCTAGACTCAAGCCCCTCTTATCCTTGGTAGCAGCCCTTCCTTCTATCCCTCAGTGTCATTCCCTTTGTCCCCTATGTTGGATTTGATTTTTGGATTTGATCCTTAACTCCATTTGTTGGGAAAGTTATCTTTTACTAAAAGGTCAAGTGAAGCACAGTAGACCAAAGCCAGATCTGAAAATCGCGCGCCAAAATTCCCAAGGGTAACTTTCCCTCCCTTAGTTGCTTCCCATTGCTTGCTCCCTCAATGTCCAATCAAATTCAAAGAAGATTTTTCGGGACGGTTGGCATGCAGCTGCATTCTGTTCCCAGCCGTCTGACCTTGAAGCCGTGTCTCTGGCAGATACAATGAACTGTTTGTTATCACCGAATCCTCCCCACCTCCCATCTTGTCCCTGGCGTTCATGGCAGACCGGCACTAAGCGAAGCATGAGGTGTCGGTTCTGACAGCTTAGATCAGAGAATGACCCAGATATCTTGTCCCCTCCCTGACAGGCGATGTGCAGGCGTCTGAGGAGGCCTCGGAGAATTCTTCAGAACCAGGATCACAGCGGATTCCCTGCAGAAGAGCTGATCAACATAAATCCTGTACAGCAGGACCAGGGGAGGCCTCTGAAAGCCAGTCAGGAGGCCGCATGGAAAAGAAACACGACGGCCTTATTTGCGCCGCACCAAATTTCCAACAGGCCAGAGGAGTCGGAGTTGGAGTCCAGCCCAGGATCCAAGATGAGCGGTTGAAAAAGTGCCTGGAATGTGGGAAGGGCTTCGTTTGGCAGTCCGAACTGATCGAGCACCAGCGATCGCACACGGGCGAGAGGCCTTACTCCTGCTCGTACTGCGGGAAGAGCTTCAGCCGCAAATCCTACATTATAAAGCACGAACGGATCCACACGGGGGAGAAGCCCTACATGTGCGCCCACTGCGGCAAGGGCTTCATTTCTAAATCGGACCTCATCAAGCACGAACGGACCCACACGGGCGAGAAACCGTACATCTGCGCCGACTGCGGGCGCAGCTTCAGCAGGAAGCAGTTCCTGGTGACCCATCGGAGGACGCACACGGGGGAGAAGCCGTACAAATGCGCCGAGTGCGGCAAGAGCTTCAGCCAGCGGACGTGTCTGGTCATCCACGAGAGAGCCCACACCGGCGAGAAGCCATTTCAGTGCCTGGTGTGCGGGAAGAGCTTTGGGAGAAGGGATATTCTCGTGACGCACCAGAAACTCCATGCCCGAGAAAAGGCTTTGCAGTGCGTTGAGTGGCTGTGAAATGGCAACTTCACTGAGTACAGGACGCGAGGGGCTCCCGTCTGCAACGTGTTTGAGCAGGGATTAAAAGTGGAGAACGGAGGGTGTGCATGTATGTAAGTGTAGGAGATAGATACATGGGTTGTGATTCAAGAAATAGGAGCTGTGTAAAAATTGTAGTTCAGAGGCGGAAAAAGATAGAATGAATATCATGTGATATTCATTCACTGATTGAATCAAGATCCCATGAAGTGTTAATGCCAATTTATAATGCCTTGGTAAGGCCACACTTGGAATACTGCATCCAGTCGTGGTCGCCATGAGGTAAAAAAGATGTGGAGACTCTAGAAAGAGTGCAGAGAAGAGCAACAAAGATGATGAGGGGACCAGAGGCTAAAACATACAAAGAACAGTTGCTGGAATTGGATATGTCTAGTTTAATGAAAAGAAGGACTAGGAGTGACATGGTAGCAGTCTTCCGATATCTCAGGACAGGGGTGAAATCCAGCAGGTTCTGACAGATTCTGGAGAATTGGTAACGGAAATTTTGAGCAGTTCAGAGAACCAGCAGCGGAAATTTTGAGTAGTTTGGAGAATCAGCAAATACCACCTCTGGCTGGCCCCAGAGTGGGGTGGGAATGGAGATTTTGCAATATCCTTCCCCCAGGAGTGTGGTGGGAATGGGGATTTTGCAGTATCCTTCCTCTGCCAGCCCACCAAGCCACACCCACAGAACCGGTAGTAAAAAAAATTTGGGTTTCACCACTGTCTCAGGGGCTGCCACAAAGAAGAGGGAGTCAAGTTATTCTCCAAAGCCCCTGAAGGCAGAACAAGAAGCAATGGATGGAAACTAATCAAGGAGGGAAGCAACCTAGAACTTTCCTGACAGAACAATTAATCTGTGGAACGACTTGCTTCCAGAAGTTGTGAATGCTCCAACACTGGAAGGTTGTAAGAAGAAATTGGATAACCATTTTTCCGAAGTGGTATAGGGCAGTGGTCCCCAACCTTTTTATCGCCGCGGCCCGCTGAGCGCGCGCAGGGGTGGGGGCACGGCCCAGGAGCTTTTGCGCACGGCCCATTGCGCACGGCCCAGGAGCCTTTGCGCTGCAGCGTTCATGTCCCCCGGCCGCTGCGTGGCCCGGTGCCAGGTACTCCACGGCCCGGCACCGGTCCGCGGACCGGGGGTTGGGGACCACTGGTGTAGGGTTTCCTGCCGAAGCAGGGGGTTGGACTAGAAGACCTCCAAGTTCCCTTCCAACTCTGTTATTCTATTCTGAACGATGGCCCCTTTAGAACCCGCAGACTTCAATTCCCAGAATTCTTGACCTAACAACTTATTATTTCATGTACAATATTTTGATTTAACAGATGAACAGAGTTGGGAGGGACCTTGTAGGTCATGTAGTCCAACCCCCTGCTCAAACTGGACACCCTACACCCATCTCTGACAAATGGCAGTCCTATCTCTTCTTGAAAGCCTCCAGTGATGAAGCTCCCACAACTTCCGAAGGCAACTTTTGTTCCACTGGTTGATTGTTCTCACTGTCAGGAAATTTCTCCTTAGTTCCAAGTTGCTTCTCTCCTTGATTAGTTTCCATCCATTGCTCCTTGTCCTGCCCTCAGGGGCTTTGGAGAATAGCTTGACTCCCTCTTCTTTGTGGCAGCCCCTGAGATATTGGAACACTTTGCTTAACGACTTCATGATTTACTTCACAATGATTTGCTTAACAACTATGGCAGAAATGGTAAAAAAAATCAGGTGTGACTCAATAAGTCCCTTGCTTAACAACGGAAATTCTTAAGAGTCACCAAAGGACTGTAACAGCAATTAGACAGAGCTATTCTTCTCTTTCCAAAACGGGGATGAGAAACTGATCTAAGTATGAATAACTGGCCCCCAGAGGAAAATTAGGGTCGTTTTTACTTTTTATTAAGATGGCAGGCTCCAATGTTTATGTCACTGTGTTTTTGTATTTACCAGATGAGCTCTTATTTTTGAACTTTCAGACTTACCGTAGCTTGCCAAGTTCTTATCAGTAAGCTAACTGCGCATGTCTACATTCCTTCACTTTCTTCTAAATCTTTCTTTGTTCTCCGGCCAAGAGAGGTGGCCGGGAAAGCTTTGCCAAGATGTAATTAATTAGATTAGTAAGATGTTTTATTTTCTTTATAACAAATAAATGAGTTTTTCTTAGAAAATATATCTTCGGGTTTATTTTCTTCAAGGGAAAAGCCTCGATCCACTTCTCTAAATCAAGGTGCAATTGCCCAAAAGCAGAATGGGATTAACTGCCACCCTGACAGTTTATAATCCTTTTTTGATTTCCCGCACTCCAAATAACTATGTGCCTTGTGGGAAATTAAAATGACACACCCCTTCACAGATATAAAAAAAACATTGAGATTCTACTAAGAGTGCAAAGAAAAGCAACAAAGATGATTGGAGGATAAAACATACAAAGAATGCCTGGAGGTTTGTAGGAAGAGATTAGACAACCATTCGTCTGAAATGGTGCAGGGCAGTGATGGCTAATCTTTTTGCCATCGTGTGCCAAAAGCTGGGGGAGTGCGGGGTGGTCGTGCACACGCGCGTGCCCACACCCATAACTCGATGTGCCCTGCCCTCTCCCACGCATGTGCACGCAACTCCCCCATGCTCCCCTCATTTTTGGCATGTGGTGGCCCAGTGGGCCCCGGTAGGCCTGTTTTTTACCCTCCGCAGGCTCCAGAGGCTTCCTAGGAGCCTGGGGAGGACAAAAACAGCCTTCCCCACACACCCCCGGAGGCCAGAAACAGACCATTTGCCAACTTCCGGTAGGCCCAGAAGGCTCAAAAATCAGCTGGCCAGGAAAAGCCTGCATGCTGGAGCTGAGCTAGGGCAATACCAATATGTGCCCACCAATATGGCTCCGCGTGCCACCTGTGGCACACGTGCCATAGGTTCACCATCACAGGTGTAGGGTTTCCTGCTTGAGCAGGGGGCTGGACAAGAAGACCTCCAAGATCCCTTCCAACTCTGTTATTCTGTTATTTTTTATTTATTTTATTTTATTTTATTGGATTTATATACCGCCCTACTCCCGAAGGACTCAGGGTGGTGAACAGCCACAGAATAAAACACATAAATACAAAAATTTAAAATAGAATAAATACGAATTCAATAATTTGGCTGAGACAAATTTAAAATACCCAATAATTTAAAAAACAAATTAAAATTTACATTTAAAAGGGGAGAAGGTTTAGGCCAGGCCAGCTTGATGAAATAAGAAAGTCTTGAGCGCGCGACGGAAGGTGCGCAGATCCGGGATCCTCCGTATCTCCAGGGGGAGCTCGTTCCAGATCGTAGGTGCCCCCACAGAGAAGGCTCTCCCCCTAGGGGCCGCCAGTCGACATTGTTTGGCTGAACGGCACCCGGAGGAGCCCCTCTCTATGGGAGCATACTGGCTGGTGGGAGGCTATTGGTGGTAGCAGGCGGTCCCGTAGATAACCAGGTCCTAAGCCATGGAGCGCTCTAGAGGTGAAAACCAAAACCTTGAAGCGCACCTGGAAGACCACCGGGAGCCAGTGCAGCTCGCGCAGGAGAGGTGTTACATGGGAACTCCATGTCGCTCCCATAACCACCTGCGCGGCCGCACTCTGCGCCAGTTGGAGCCTCCAAGTACACCTCAAGGGGAGCCCCATGTAGAGAGCGTTAAATGCAATGCAGTAAGACGATAAAAACAATGGGGCCAATGGGCACCATTGGGACTTAAGCATCTAGCAGGAGCACTAATGAACCTGTTACACACAGCTCTGTCCCAGAAGACAAATGAGCCTCCATTTCAGCAACTTATTAATCCAGCAGGACTTTTTATGAGCTGAAAGTCATCCCTGCAATTAAGTACGTTGCTTGCTGATCCTTTGCTCTACGGCAGGTTATTCTCCTCCTCCTAACGTATGTCCCTAAATTCCCAGCATGATAGTCTCTTTCAGGCTAAGCAATGTTTTGCAGCACCCAGAAAAGGAGTAAGAAATAGGTAAGACCAAATTAAAAGAAAAAAAAAGGAAAGACATTTAAATCTGGTTTACACCAACGGCATTCACTACCTCCCCAGTACAATCTGAGGACCCAGATTGTTGGGGGCAATAGGCTGACTCTGTGAACTACTTAGGGTTGTAAAGCACTGTTAAGGAATATGCGCAGAGTAACCCTTGAGTAGCAAGGTTGTGCACATGAGAAACAGCTGAGAGTGATTGTGACTAAGCACTGTCAATACACAGACACACTGAGTTGTGATATTCTTTTACTTTTAGGAAAAAGAAAAGCAAAGTCCAATAAACAATCCAGGTCATACACAGATAAAGATAGTTAAATTGTCAATCCAGGGATATTCCAAGAACAAAGTCTTCTTACCAGTTGTAGTCATATGCAATAAAACAGTTCTTTTTGGAGTTGCAAACAGGAACAAGTACAGCAGTAAAACAATCAGTAAAACAGTAGAAAACAACAAGTAGCAATGATCAATCAGTGATCATGCAGAGAGAACAGGCAGAGAGGAGCAGAGGTAGCAATAATAATGTAATAAGAAAAAAATAAGCCATGATTCAAGCTTCCTCTTAAATATGTTGGCTACAGAGCTAGCCAATCAGAATACAGTATGATGCAATACAGGCATTACAGTCTTGACTGCAAACATGCATTGATGGTTTATATATATTGCCAACCCAACCAATTAGGCAATAGCCATTCCCTAACAAGCACCATGAAGCGGAATAGAAATAGAAATAGAAGTAGAAATAGAAGTAGAATAGAATAGAATAGAATAGAATAGAATAGAATAGAATAGAATAGAATAGAATAGAATAGAATAGAATAGAATAGAATAGAATAGAATAGAATTCTTTATTGGCCAAGTGTGATTGAACACACAAGGAATTTGTCTTTGGTGCAAATGCTCTCAATGTACATAAAAGAAAAGATACGTTCATCAAGAATCATAAGGTACAGCACTTAATGATAGTCAAAGGGCAGGGGTGAAATGCTCCCGGTTCTGACTGGTTCGTCCGATCCGGTAGCGAACATGGCAGATGGTTCGGAGAACCAGTAGTAGTGGCGGTGCAAGGCTCCACCCTTTTCCTCGCGCGCGTGCACGGCACATGCACTTCTGAACCTGTAAGGAAGGTAAGTAGATTTCACCCCTGTCATAGGGTACAGATAAGCAATCAAATCATATTAGGAAACAGTCAATATAAATTGTAAGGATACAAGCAACAGTCATACAGTCATAAGTGGGAGGAGATGGGTGATAGGAACGATGAGAAGATTAATACTAGTGCAGACTTAGAAATAGTTTGACAGTGTTGAGGGAATTATTTGTTTAGCAGAGTGATAGAGTATATAGCAGAGTATATAAGTCTTAAGTGCTATTGCAATTCTCCATGGATTTCTATCCATGCAAATGCATCCCAATCCATGCATTGCATTATCCCTATTCTTTAAAATTTCCATTTCTCTCTTTTTGAGAATCATCAGCATTATCCAATCACAGCTTTCATGAGCTCCCCTTTCCTCTCCATCCATTCACTCTATCGTGTATCCTTTTAAGAGTCAATTCTGATAATCCTGATCTTAAAAGTTGCAGGTACTGCTTTGTAACATTGCTAAGCAACTGGTCAAAGCTACACTGGGTCTCCTCAGAAATACTTAGGACCCAGTTTCAAAGTTCCAACAGCCCTTCCCCACAGTCATATGTTCACTTTTTGGACACTTGGCAACTGACTTGTATCTACTAGCACTTGGCAGAAAACTCCACTGGCTAAAAT